GAAACATTTAAGGGGGAAGGGTTTGGGTTCGCTTGTATTTACAGCTTAAGGATAGAAAGGGGGTATTGGGGGGGGGGTTATATATGTTTTATATCCCCCCTCAAACGCCCCCCCCCCCTCGAAAAGGGTAGAAAAAGCCCCCTTTTTCCCCTTTGAAGGTCACATGTTCAAACCATCTTGCAAAGGGTAATTTCAGTCATATATTTTTTGGTTAAAATTTGACCCGATACCTTCAACAAGCAATGTATAATATAATTTAACTAACGTGAATAATGCCATTAACATCTGTTTATGTAAAATTATCATTGATGACAAAAAAAAAAAAGTGTTTTACAGTTCATCTTTAATGCAAGTAGATTATCACCGCCTGTGAATAAGGAAAATAAAACACATGAACATTCCTTTGTACAAAATATATTCACTTTAAGAAAAGTGTAATTCTACACAATAACTTTGGTAACAAGAGACAGGGGGGGTGGGGGGGGTGGGGGGGAGGAGAGGGGGGTGGGGGGGTCAAGAAGGGACTAGTCTGCGGCCTGTATCAGTTACCGGTCCCCTCCCGGCACATTTATGTGGCCTGTACCGGTGACTGTAGTAGCCTGTACCGGTGACTGTAGTAGCCTGTACCGGTGACTGTAGTAGCCTGTACCGGTGAACTCTGCAATTTGTACCAGATCCTGCGACTATCCAAAGAAACAAGTCTGCATATGGGCCATCAGCCGCACAGGTTAAGATGTGTGGGGGGGGGGTCTACACACTGACCGGTATCACCGGTTTGAGCTTGTGACCTGTACCGGAGACTTTAGTCACAAGTTATCCCCGGTAATGTGGTGCATCACATCTCTCTATTCATTCTTGGTACAACCATGTATTTGCACCAACTTTTAGGATCAATTCGGCAGTCTGCGCACTGTACAAAGCAATTCGTCAATCCAGTGCAGTCTCCGGCTTGCACCGCTGACCACATCTCTCTACAACTCACAGCCTGCACGCATGTAATCCAAAGTTGCATTTTGCATTCACCATCTGAACGACTTGGCTGTGAGGAGCGGGGGTTGTTCCCTCTCTCACCCAAACAAGCTGATTGGGTCACACTCCGGGCCTATTAGTCAGAAAGACCGCTGTGTTCACCACAACTGCTGGTTTATATATTTGCTGTAAACCAAGGTGCTAAAATGGTTGAGTTTGACAGGTGATTTTTTTAGGCCTCATTGCCCGTAGGTCGTTCAGATGGTGTGTGATAAAGACCAATTAAACCTGGGCCTGCAGGTGGTTTATTTTGGTTTAGGGGGTTTTTCTTCCGCATGTTGAACCCAAATAGAGGTGTAGGAAGGGAAGGGGGGGTTAAAGGAATGTTATAAAACCATGTAAAAACCATGAAATGTAACTGACGTAGGAAAATCAAATTAACCATTCTCACCATCAGTGTGAAAAACAATGAGGATCATCACACTTTGAGAAAAAATAAATATAAATATATATTTTTTGCATTATAGGTCACGTCATGATGACATTTGTCCTATTACAGAATAACTGGAGAACGCCCTTGAACTATGTCTTGAAAGATATGGTTAAATAAGTTAACATCGGCTGTCTGTGGTTATCACTGAATAAATTAACATGCAAGAGATGACTCTTGAAGTCTAAATCACAACTTTCCCACAACTAAAAGTCTTATGTTATTAAAATACTCAAATTTCCAAATGTTCAAATGGACCTTTGACGTACGCCGGCGATCAGGGGCAATGCATTCATCATTCTATCAAAATACTATTTAATATGTATAAAAACAGGGCAAAATATCGAGAAACGAGGCATAGGGATGTTTGAGCACATGTATAAAGAAGATATGGGGGGGGGGAGGGGGAGGTGCCAGTGTCAAGATTCAAGTCAGACACTTTCCTGCCACATTCACACCTCATCAACAGTGGGAATAGTGTTGTTGAATCGCTGTGTGAATGTTTGACCTTTAACCGACTCGTATCTTAGCACTGAACGTTGCTACATACATTCTCAATAAATATGAAAAAAGGGGGGTAACCATGGAAGTTGAAGGAAGGGCACTGGTGGGTGAGGCTGGGACCCGGGAGCTTGGGCTCGACCTTCACCCACCCTGCCTGTCTCCCATGCAAGACTGTGTCAAATGATAATTACCGTATACTCGAGGATGACAAGTTCAGATAATCTCGCATGATATTTATAATTGTCGCGAATATCCATTTAAAGAATTGTACCATGTTTAAGTTTGTCCACATTGCACGGAGGTGAACACATGTAGTCATTGCTTAATGCTTTCGTATGGGGAGGATTGGTCACCGAGTAACAGAAAAACGGAAAGAGAATTATTAAAATAAAACAGTATGACTAACAATGCTCTGAACTGAACAGGCTGGTGCGACTTGAATGCCATTTCCCATGCCATTCCTAAACTCTCTACCTCAGTCTTTGATCCACGCAGAGCAGAACAAAGCTATTTCCAAATGATGGGGAACCACCTACAATGGACCGTCGGTACTATCCGCGGTCCATCAAGCCTTCTCTAAAACAAAGCCCTTAAACCCTTTCTGGTGGATTGAATACATATCTAAATGGCATTGTACACTAAACATAACGGTGAAGTGATTGGGTTTACCCAGCCCCCATCATGGTGGTGGTGGGAGAGAGAGAGAGAGAGAGAGAGAGAGAGAGAGAGAGAGAGAGAGAGAGAGAGAGAGTAGAGGCAGACGCGTTTGAAACAGCTTCCGAAACGCAGTTCGCTAGGTTATTGTTGTGGTGTGTTAACTGCTGGATGCTGTGCACTTGTTAGGGTGCATTGCGTTGTGAGTCTGCTGCCAAACACTCCTCGGCATTATTGTTCGAAATAAGATTTAACAAATGAGCATCGTAGGACGGAGGTTCGAAGCCTCGTCACGGCCCTTGTGGATTTGTTCAAATGAGGTTAATGTTTAGAGGGAAAAGTTACAAAAAAAATAAGTGTGTAAGTAGGTGCTCCAGCTTCTCACAGTAACACACTCGTCGCACACCCAAAAGTAGCCGTAAGTAACATCAAGAAGTAACACCGGTGAACCATTAGAGAGAGGAAAAAAAAAATGATCCCGAAGAGAGTTAAGATTGTTTCTATACAATCTTAAAAGTTAAGTAACTTTTAGTAAAGTTTAAAAACTAAATAGAATGAAACATAATTATGGAAACAGTTTATAATTATTATAATCATTTAATGTCCTTGATGATAACATTTAAACTTTGTACATACAGTAAATGAACAACAAGAATGAGAAAACAGCCATAACGGTACCATCCACTCTCCACCAAACACCATAACATTAGACAAGTCAAAAAGAAAGTAATAAAAATTCCATCTTCCAGTATCTGCAGAGAGATATTATATTTGTGTATGGAATATTGACTCACTCACTCACTCACTCACATATTTGTATGAGCTCTCCACAAGTATCACATCTACTGTGGGTCAACGATAGTCTTGAGAGGTCTCTCACTCGCCCTGTACTCATCCTTCCTACAAGCGAAGGAAGGATGGACATCCTTCCTTCCTTGATCGTACGAAAATTTAAGTCAAACCTTCCTTCAGGGGTTAGATTCACGAAGCAGTTACCCCAAGTGCTTACGAACGTGTACATCTTTTCTCAATCTTTGACGGCTTTGGTTATATTTATTAAACGGTTTACAAGCATGAAAACTTGCCAATCAACTGTTGTTATTGTTATAAACAGCCTCCTGGTGCTTCGGAGCTCATTAACTGTTTAATACTTGTAAACAAAGCCGCCAAAGATTGAGGCAAGATGTATAGGTTCATAAGTACTTGCGTAAATGCTTCGGGAATCTGGCCCCAGGTCTCTAGTTAAACGCAATCCAAGATAATTCTCAGCTGACACTTAACTGGTTAGTTGACCAGACCACACACTAGACGGTGAAGGGACGACTACGTTTCGGTCCGTCTTGGACCATTCTCAAGTCGATTGTGACAATCGACTTGAGAATGGTCAAGGACGGACCGAAACGTCGTCGTCCCTTCACCATCTAGTGTGTATTCTGGTCAACATACTTTAGCCACGTTATTGTGACTCATCGCCTGCACTTAACTGGTTACCCTTGAGTCTTAGGTGTTTGAAACCTGCTACCTTGGTCACGTCGGTCTTTAAGACTTTTTTTCCACTAACAGCTTGCAGAGGGATGAGAGGAGGGCAAGTGCAGTTTGATCTTGCAAAAACCACGTTGAAATACAGTGTAAATTTGTGTGAGCTGCGACTAGGTGTGTAGAAAAATGGGAAACCAGAATCAGGTTGGTGAAAGCAATTGTGCATAATATATATACAGTCAACCTGTCCGGTGCTACTTGCTTGCTCGTGTATAGTTTCTTTAGTATATTTTGTTACGAAACGACTTTCGTTAATTTGGGAGAACACACAAACAAGCTGTTGCCCCCCGAAAATGTTTCCGTTAGTGACTTGAAGGGGGTGAGACACTTGGGTTGAAGTGGGCCGATTTTACACCCCTCATTCTCCAGAGCCTATAGCAAGGACACACACACACACACACACAAACACATTGTGCAATTGTTCTTGTTTTCTGTTTATGTTCCTCCACTTTGCTTTGTTTTCACCCCCCCCCCCCTCTCACTTTTGACTAGCACAGCTTTCCAGTTTTCGAGGCTGTAACGTGATAAGCCCCGAAGGCTCATAGGGACGAAAAAACTAAGTTTAACTGCTAAAAAGTAGGTCTTTATGGCACACCAAGATAGGAAGATTTTTCCGTCACTGTACATGCAACTTGGGGGGGGACGAGGAGGGGGGGGGGGAGTCTGTAATCTCACACAATACCCTTAAGATTATATATACAAATAATATTACTCATGTTTCTTTTTGAGGCTTTTTCACCTCTTTACAATAATGCTTTACATATCACATAACAGAGTGTTACAAAAATTATTTTTTAGCGGTCCTTTGCTTCTGTTTGCGAGAAATCGTGTGTCAACGGCCGTTTCCTCAACGGGAGGCGGGGGGGGGGGGCTTCTGCCGTTATAAAATGTTGATTGTTGATCAAAATTTTACTTGGTGATTGATTTGCAGGAGTTTTGAGTTGTATTCGGGACAGATTGAGAGACAGACCTTGGGGGGGGGGAGGGGGGCTTTACTCGCGAGGGTAAATACCAATCAACACGGCCCTCCATCGCTACCATTGCCGTTTGACCCAGTTGCGTTATGACTTAACGAGGCCATTAGCCATTGCTAGAGTGGTTGCAGACACGCGCGCCGGTAGAGCAGCGTTGCAGTACAAATGCTTCTGGCGCCTGCGTCGCTGATCAAAACGGCGGCCGCCACTGATGTTGCGGCTGGCCTGCCACTGCCCGGAACATCTCCGCTGATTGGGAGTGTAGCGGGTGCGGCAGCGCCGCCTGCGGTAGCGCCGCCTGCGGCCGCCGGTGTTGCTGATGCATCGGTGGCAGTGGCATCATGGGTGACGTTAGCTGCGACAGGTGAGGCGGCAGCATTTGCGGCATTTGGAAAGGAAACTGCGGCGCCTGCGATGACGATGCGTGCGGCATTGGCGACATCTGCGGCGGTACCTGCGGCAGGTGGTGCGATGGAGGCTGTGTTGGTCATGTTCGTCGACGTTTGCGCCCCCTCCCGGCCGCGTCTCATCGGTCCTCCATCGTTAGAGAGTCGGGACTTCCGTAGCCGCTAGAAGCATCGTCGGCCACCGCCTGATTGGAGCTGTTCGCCTGTTGAGGCGCAGTCGAGGGGGCCTTGAGAACACCCTCGCCGACCCCCAGTTGATGGTCCCCCAGGGGTCCACGGTCCCCCAGTGGGCCACGGTCCCCCAGCGGGGTAGGCAAGATCATCCCTGACGTGCCCGGCCCGTTGCCCGCACTACCCAGACTCATGCCGTTCATGCCCAACTGGTGCTGTTGGCCGGGCAGCTGGGGTAGCGCCGCGCTGTGGGTAGCGGCGTTGCCACGTTGAGCTAAGCCAGATTCCTCCGGAGGCTGCTAGGAAAGAAAAGAAAGAACAAAAGGTTAAGAAGCTATAGGGGGGATCGACTACTATACATTATATAAGTTGATAAACCACTTCTGGGAAGATAAGGAGCCATATTATCGCCCACACACACACATGTTATATGTAAGACCAACCCGTTCTCGCACTTTCTTACAGTCAATATTGACTTATTAAATACGTGCATATGTGACATACTAAACATACTAGTTTACCTTGAAAAGTTTCATAGAAAACACCGACCTTACCAAACCTTCTTAGTATGTTAAGATAAGCATCTTATTGCTTAGTAATTACAATTATTACTTAACCTATACCTATAATAGGTTAAGTAATAATTGTAATTACGAAACAATAAGATTTAAAACAATAAGAATGTGCAAGAGGGGACCTAAAAATCCCCTTTAATGCCGTGTGTGCTTTTCTCCGAGGCTAGGGGTGTTCACTTTCCAACCAGAAGTGGTGTATATGTATATATATGTATAATATATATATATATATATATATATATATATATATATATATATATATATATATATATATATATATATATATATTATATATTATATATATTATATATATTATATATATATATATTATATATATTATATATATATATATATATATATATATATATATAATATATATATTATTAAATATGACCGAAAAAGTAAGATTAATAATTCTAACACGAATTTTCTCAATCTTTCGTACATTACGCTTCACTGTTGGAGGTAAATCAAAAATCACTTCTCCAAAATTCATTTTTATTTCTTAGTCTGACGCGACACGGGCGCGTTTCGTAAAACTTATTACATTTTCAAAGACTTCACAAATACACAACTGATTAGAACTAGCGTTTCCCTGATTTTATATCTACATTTGAGTGAGGTGGGAAGGGTGATGTGGCATTACATTTGAGTGAGGTGGGAAGGGTGATGTGGCATTAACACAAGACAGAACACTAGAGGATATTAATAGGGTATTAAAAGTATCAACACAAGACAGAACACGAAACAATGGGTATTGAATAGAAGTGTTTGTAGAAAGCCTATTGGTCCATATTTCTTGATGCTTCTATATTGGAGCGGAGTCTTGAGGTGGGTAGAATATAGTTGTGCAATAATTGGCTGTTGATTGCTGGTGTTGACTTCTTGATGTGCAGTGCCTCGCAAACGTCAAGCCGCCTGCTATCGCTGTATCTATCGATGATTTCTGTGTTGTTTACTAGGATTTCTCTGGCGATGGTTTGGTTATGGGAAGAGATTATATGTTCCTTAATGGAGCCCTGTTGTTTATGCATCGTTAAACGCCTAGAAAGAGATGTTGTTGTCTTGCCTATATACTGGGTTTTTTGGAGCTTACAGTCCCCAAGTGGGCATTTGAAGGCATAGACGACGTTAGTCTCTTTTAAAGCGTTCTGTTTTGTGTCTGGAGAGTTTCTCATGAGTAGGCTGGCCGTTTTCCTGGTTTTATAGTAAATCGTCAGTTGTATCCTCTGATTTTTGTCTGTAGGGATAACGTTTCTATTAACAATATCTTTCAGGACCCTTTCCTCTGTTTTATGAGCTGTGGAAAAGAAGTTCCTGTAAAATAGTCTAATAGGGGGTATAGGTGTTGTGTTAGTTGTCTCTTCGGAGGTTGCATGGCTTTTCACTTTCCTTCTTATGATGTCTTCGATGAAACCATTGGAGAAGCCGTTATTGACTAGGACCTGCCTTACCCTACAGAGTTCTTCGTCGACTTGCTTCCATTCCGAGCTGTGGCTGAGAGCACGGTCGACGTATGCGTTAACAACACTCCTCTTGTACCTGTCAGGGCAGTCGCTGTTGGCATTTAGGCACATTCCTATGTTTGTTTCCTTTGTGTAGACTGCAGTGTGGAAACCTCCGCCCTTTTCCATGACTGTTACATCTAGAAAAGGCAGCTTCCCATCCTTTTCCGTCTCGTAAGTGAAACGCAGCACGGAACTCTGCTCAAATGCCTCCTTCAGCTCCTGCAGATGCCTGACATCAGGTACCTGTGTAAAAATGTCGTCAACATACCTGCAGTATATGGCCGGTTTCAAGTTCATGTCGACTAAGACTTTTTGCTCGATGGTACCCATGTAGAAGTTTGCAAACAGGACACCTAGGGGAGAACCCATGGCGACCCCATCTACTTGCTTATACATGTGCCCATCCGGGCTCAAGAAGGGTGCCTCTTTAGTACAAGCTTGGAGTAGTTTCCTCAGAATACTTTCTGGCATGTCAAGAGGAGTACAGGCTGGATCACGATACACTCTGTCGGCTATCATTCCGATTGTCTCGTCCACAGGTACGTTGGTAAACAGCGATTCTACGTCCAACGAGGCTCTTATCCCTGTGGCCCGTGCGCCCCGCAGTAAGTCCACAAATTCCTTTGGAGACTTCAGGCTGAAGGCGCAAGGAACATAAGGAGTCAGCAGGCCGCTGAGTCGCTTCGCCAGTCTGTACGTGGGTGTGGGTATCTGGCTAATGATTGGCCGAAGTGGGTTTCCAGGCTTGTGCGTCTTGACATTTCCATACGCATATCCAGGTTTATATTCCCCAATGATCTTTGGCAGGTGGAGTCCGGATTTCTTGGCGTTCACAGTTTCGATCAGTTTGTTGACCTTTGCTTTTAATTCGGCTGTAGTGTCCTTCGTTACCCTTTGGAACTTAGTTTGGTCAGAGATCCAGCCTGTACTCCTCTTGACATGCCAGAAAGTATTCTGAGGAAACTACTCCAAGCTTGTACTAAAGAGGCACCCTTCTTGAGCCCGGATGGGCACATGTATAAGCAAGTAGATGGGGTCGCCATGGGTTCTCCCCTAGGTGTCCTGTTTGCAAACTTCTACATGGGTACCATCGAGCAAAAAGTCTTAGTCGACATGAACTTGAAACCGGCCATATACTGCAGGTATGTTGACGACATTTTTACACAGGTACCTGATGTCAGGCATCTGCAGGAGCTGAAGGAGGCATTTGAGCAGAGTTCCGTGCTGCGTTTCACTTACGAGACGGAAAAGGATGGGAAGCTGCCTTTTCTAGATGTAACAGTCATGGAAAAGGGCGGAGGTTTCCACACTGCAGTCTACACAAAGGAAACAAACATAGGAATGTGCCTAAATGCCAACAGCGACTGCCCTGACAGGTACAAGAGGAGTGTTGTTAACGCATACGTCGACCGTGCTCTCAGCCACAGCTCGGAATGGAAGCAAGTCGACGAAGAACTCTGTAGGGTAAGGCAGGTCCTAGTCAATAACGGCTTCTCCAATGGTTTCATCGAAGACATCATAAGAAGGAAAGTGAAAAGCCATGCAACCTCCGAAGAGACAACTAACACAACACCTATACCCCCTATTAGACTATTTTACAGGAACTTCTTTTCCACAGCTCATAAAACAGAGGAAAGGGTCCTGAAAGATATTGTTAATAGAAACGTTATCCCTACAGACAAAAATCAGAGGATACAACTGACGATTTACTATAAAACCAGGAAAACGGCCAGCCTACTCATGAGAAACTCTCCAGACACAAAACAGAACGCTTTAAAAGAGACTAACGTCGTCTATGCCTTCAAATGCCCACTTGGGGACTGTAAGCTCCAAAAAACCCAGTATATAGGCAAGACAACAACATCTCTTTCTAGGCGTTTAACGATGCATAAACAACAGGGCTCCATTAAGGAACATATAATCTCTTCCCATAACCAAACCATCGCCAGAGAAATCCTAGTAAACAACACAGAAATCATCGATAGATACAGCGATAGCAGGCGGCTTGACGTTTGCGAGGCACTGCACATCAAGAAGTCAACACCAGCAATCAACAGCCAATTATTGCACAACTATATTCTACCCACCTCAAGACTCCGCTCCAATATAGAAGCATCAAGAAATATGGACCAATAGGCTTTCTACAAACACTTCTATTCAATACCCATTGTTTCGTGTTCTGTCTTGTGTTGATACTTTTAATACCCTATTAATATCCTCTAGTGTTCTGTCTTGTGTTAATGCCACATCACCCTTCCCACCTCACTCAAATGTAATGCCACATCACCCTTCCCACCTCACTCAAATGTAGATATAAAATCAGGGAAACGCTAGTTCTAATCAGTTGTGTATTTGTGAAGTCTTTGAAAATGTAATAAGTTTTACGAAACGCGCCCGTGTCGCGTCAGACTAAGAAATAAAAATGAATTTTGGAGAAGTGATTTTTGATTTACCTCCAACAGTGAAGCGTAATGTACGAAAGATTGAGAAAATTCGTGTTAGAATTATTAATCTTACTTTTTCGGTCATATTTAATAATATATGTCTACAGGAAAGACTGCTACCAAAATATACTAATATAATATATATATATATATGCGAACAAGCCTGAATGGTCCCCAGGACATATGCAACTGAAAACTCACACCCCAGAAGTGACTCGAACCCATACTCCCAGAAGCAACGCATCTGGTATGTACAAGACGCCTTAATCCACTTGACCATCACGACCGGACATAATGAGGTGATAGCCGAGGCTATATGAACCACCCCACCGCCGGCACTCGGATAGTTATCTTGGGCATAGCATTTTACCAAATCACCTCATTCTTTGGGGCACACGTGAGGAACACAAATGCGAACAAGCCTGAATGGTCCCCAGGACATATGCAACTGAAAACTCACACCCCAGAAGTGACTCGAACCCATACTCCCAGAAGCAACGCATCTGGTATGTACAAGACGCCTTAATCCACTTGACCATCACGACCGGACATAATGAGGTGATAGCCGAGGCTATATGAACCACCCCACCGCCGGCACTCGGATAGTTATCTTGGGCATAGCATTTTACCAAATCACCTCATTCTTTGGGGCACACGTGAGGAACACAAATGCGAACAAGCCTGAATGGTCCCCAGGACATATGCAACTGAAAACTCACACCCCAGAAGTGACTCGAACCCATATTCCCAGAAGCAACGCATCTGGTATGTA